CCTGCACTGGCTACCTGTTACATCTCGGGTCAGATTCAAGGTTGTAATGATCCCCTACAAAGCCCTTGATGGTTTGGGACCCGCTACCTGCCGCAGCATCTTTTCCCAATGCTACCTACCTGCACTCCTGGGTCTTTCCAGGCCATGCTCCTCCTGGTGGCCAGTCTGAAGGTGGCCAGAAATTCATCTGCCAGAAGTAGGGCCTTCCTTGCAGTGGCACCAACTCTCCGGAACCAACTCCGGATGAGGCTGTGCCTGGCCCCCCTCCCTCCCAACATTTAACAAAGCCCCCCCCCCAAAAAAAAAACACAGCTTTCCCAAGATGCCTTTCTCTGTAACCCTGCCTGATTTTTCATTTAATATGCCATTTGTTCCACGTTTCAGATTATGCCTCTTTTGAGTTTACTGGTTATTCTCAGTGGTGTTTTTATTTTAAAATAAAATAACTGTACAGCCAGTTTGAAGCGGGTTTAGATACCTTGACAGGACTGTCGTTGTAAAGCCAGGCAAGGAAAGCAGTTGAGTTCCAGTAAGTATCCGGAGCCTCCCATTCTCCATCAGACCAGATCAGATCCGGCTTGTACCTTCGATGCATATTAAGAAAATGGGAAAATTGAGTAATGAGTTACATCCTCATTATTGGGTTTATTTTACTGAGAAGACCCACCAGCGTCTGGTCTCTTCCATGTTAAATAAGTTGAGTGACTAGACTATGTCTTGTTTTAAAGAAAAATCATACTTCACTGAACATTATTCTTCTTTAAAACAAGACACATGCTATCCATGCACCTTGTTTCACTATCAGCGAATGCAGTGGTGGCGAAGGCTCCAAAATCAAGCAGGGAACTCTATGCAGCCCACAGGTTGGCCACCCTTTTGTAATTCAAACTTATCAAAATAAGCTCTAGCTGTGGAAGGGACGGTGTGGCCAGCTAGCTGGACAGCTGTGATCAGTCCATTGTGACCGGCACATGCTAGTAGTCCCCAAACAAGCCCCAGCACCTCTCTGTAGGCTCTTAAAATATTGGGTTGGCTACAGAAGCAGGAGATTGTCCCTACAAAGCCACAATTCTATGTATGCTTCCCCATAAGACCCAATTTATGCAACATGATTCATCTCTGAAAAAGTATGGGTAAGACACCAAGGAAGAGACAGAGGACCAATTATTAGAGATGGGAACAAACTGATAATTCGGAAGTTCGTGCCAGTTCGTTTACCAACTAAACAAGTGTTTGGCAGTTCATAGTCCCACCTCCTCTGGTGGGTACCCATTCAGAGGTAGTACCATAGCTTCCCTACCGTAGGCAGGGCTGGGAACCGCTGAACACCTGTCTGACCAGTAAACGAACCGGTGGCTCATGCCCATCTCTACTTATGATCCCGGTTACTGGCTTGGCTACTAAGGGAAGCCAAAATTTGTAAAACACAAATTACAAAATTTGTAAATTTACAAAAAAAATTACAAAATTTGTAAAACACAGTACTGACAGCACTAGAGGAGGAAGGCTCAAGTGGCTTCCCCAGCTCTCTGGCCTTCCAATGGTAGCAAAATTAAAGCAGTCCAAAATGATGTTACTTGCACCATCCATTAATGCTGCAGAACTTCTACCGAAGTAAATCTGAACAGACAAGTATTTGGCACATCATGGGGGGGCAGCGTTAGCCAATACAGGTGTTTCTATTCCAAATGGACTGAATTCTGGTAACAAAACTAAAACAGCAGAAAAGTACCTAGAGAGGGATGAAAAATGGCAGGTGGATGTCAGCCAGAAAGGTGGATGTGTGAAAAAAAAAATCGGAAGCTTTCAGGCAAATAACTCTCTCTCTCCCCTTGTCCCTCCTTTTTTCAGCAGCAAAATGTTAATTTGTCTAATGGAAACACTGGGAAAGACTGCACAACACCAAGTCAGGGAAGGCTGGGTCAGATTTTTCCCCATGATTTTGCTCTTACCTTAAAACCAGTTCATAAAGCTCCGGCATTGTCTTCTCGGAGACAAAGAACTGGGTCTTGAAGCCATTCTTTTTGTCTATTAAGTAGAGGGGATGAAACCACTCAAAAAGAGAATGGTACAGGCCGTAACGTATGTTCCTGAAGAGGGAAATACAGGGGGGAAATACAGGGCGGAAGAACAATCGCAGAATTATAAAAACGAAGAAGTCATTGAAAACCAAAGAGTCCGCTCTGTGCACCATAATTTATTTATTTATTTATTCTATTTATATCCCGCCTATCTGGTCAATTACGACCACTCTAGGCGGCCATCGAAACCCTAACCATAACAGATACCTTTTTCTGAGAGCATCTCCCAGTTCGCCCACTAAGTCTCGATGGGGTCCCGTGTCCACCGAATTCCAGTTCCAGGACACAGGGGAGCCCCAGTTGGTGAAGCCTTCGTGATGCTTCGTGGTGAACACCACGTATCTGTAAGGGAAAGAAAGACCACAGGGTCAGAAGGCAAGGGGAATCCAAAATATCCCCAGATGTATTCAGGAGACTGGGAAGGTCAATGACAAAACTCAGCTGAAGGTGTTCTAGTCCTTATTATTTCTTATCCTTAAGAATTTCAGACTAATTCTAGCCTTGCTCACTGTTGATCCCAGGCAACTGTATTCCATGAACCACATCACCAGAAACTGGGGGGGGTACATGGGACCCAGCGGTACCCGAAGCCAATGATGGCCGCCCCTCACTCTGTGTGCAGAAGCTGAGTGGGCTGAGAACTTCACGATTGGCAGCAGGATCAGGTCCTTGGGTGCAACTAAGGGATCAGATCAGATCAAGCTTCCCAGCACATACACAACGGTGTCTGTCCTTCAAGAACGAAGAGGCTCAGGAAGAGCGTCTGGAAGCTGTTGAATCTGATTGGTGTTGATTTACTGGCGGCATTGGCTTGGATACTTAAGACGTACTGTTTTTAGCTTTTAAATATTGTCTTTATATGATCTCTAAGCCGTCATGGGTTCTCTTTAAGGAGAAGGCAGAGTAAAAAAAAATTTTAAAGAAATAAATTAATCAGTCCGACTCCGGCTAATGTTAGAGCTGGTCACACACAGACTGCGCTTCACGCTCGCAGATGTGGCAACGGCTCGCTTCCCGAACCCAGATTTTAAGAGGACAATGATTCCACCAGAGCTGAGGAATCTGGAAAAACAAGCAAAGGAATCTGAGCTGGGAAAAGCCAGATAAAAGGTCAAAAATGGGCAAACCTGAGGGAACTGACACACAGAATATTTTGAGGACTGTAAAGTTCCCCACCCCATCTTTTTGGTTTTAATAAAGCCACGCAGTAATAACAGGTGTCATGTAATAAGGGGGATGATAAAACTAATTTTAAAAAGGTAAGTAGTTAATGGCCAACAGGTTCTGAGGCATATATTGAGTTTATCGACAGTCTGTGAAACTGTTTACTCTTTTGTTCTAATCTTCCTGTCTCTGCTAAGGATATTCGCTCAACAGTATTATGCTGCTTCTGCTGCTATAAAATAACAAAGCTACATAATATACACAGATAGCTGGTGTGGATAAAATGATATTTTTGTCACCCATCTATAACAATAATATACACTTCTAAGAATGATTTATAAACAAATATTCAAATGAAACTTTGTGGCTTCCGCTTTCCTCAGCTGCAGACTTTGACCAGTCTGCAGACTTTGACCAACATTTTGCTTAAATATTTGTTTAATATTATTATTATCTTAAGTGCTGTTTAGTATTACGTTCATCTACATCTCTCTTCCTCTCTCTCTTTCTCTCTCTCTCC